ATCTATCTATCTATCTATCTATCTATCTATCTATCTATCTATCTAACCAGCTTACTGCCAACAGGTTGATCTGATATACACACACACAACACATCACTGATTTACTTTTCTAGAGAACTCAGCCTAACAAATTTGGTACCAGGAATGGGATTCTAGAGAAACAAAATCATCATAAGAATAAGTTTTATAAATTAGTTCTCAATTCTGATTAGGCCTTGTGTTATAGACTGTGTTGTCTACAGAAACAAAACCAGTGACATTCACATATATATAAGAAGGAACTTTATAGCCAAAAGTAACTTAATATCAAGAAAGCTCCCCAGCACAGTCCAACTCAAGTTCATGGGATTGATGCTAGCCAGAGCCTTCTTCCGATCCACATAGCTGAAGGCCAAGGACATAGAAAGGTGAAGCAGGATTCAAGGAGCCCTCAAGCTGGTTGTGGCAGTTACATAATCTCCTGTCAATTTGCAAAGGGGTGGCGTCTAGCCTGTCAATCACGTCGCAGCTTGATAACCTCCTTTGGAGGCGCAAAGGAGATAAATAGCTCACTAGAGGCCAGATACACCCTCTCTGCTACACATTCCTGTTGACAAGTCACATGGAGCTACGCTGATGGCAGCCAGAACCCTGGAGCTGGAGGAGCCATGTGGAGACCCATGCCAGTGCCGAGATGCTTCCACCACCACTGGATCCATAAGACTTTCCACCCGCCGGCCTGTGATCTTCCTGCATTCAGCATCATTGCATGGCTGCATGAGTCTAAAGAGGAATTTATGGACTAGTATTGACATAAGGGATCATATTGGACTTATGGACTTGATCTAGACTGGGCTGGGCTATTTTTCTTAATGTACAATTGCTCTTTGATATAAAGTTACACATATATGAGTGTGTATGAATTTGTTTCTCTAGTCAGCCCAGACTAACACACTGATGGATGCAGAGCTGCATGGATCCAAGATCAGTGGACTTATGGCATGGCACAGACAATTTGGAGGTTGGCTCCCAGGGTCAGCAATCCACAAGGGCTGCCCCTGAAAGCAGATGCAGAGCCCAAGCAAGGATGAAGCTGAAGGGTAAGAAAGGAAGGAGCAGTTCTCACTGCCTCTCTTGCAGAAAAGGTCCCACCCCAAAAAGGCATCACCAAGCTGTGACCTGATTGGCTGGTTGGACTCTACCCCTACACTTTCATACAAATTCAAGTTGACATAAATCTTAGTACCACATGCCTCGAGGCACTGAGAAGACTTCCTCCACCTTCCTTAGTATAGATAAGTCTGCCACTGTTAGTATAGAGCAGTGGTTCTCAACCTGTGGCTCATGACCCCTTTGGGGGTCGAATGACCCTTTCACAGGGGTGTCCCAACTCATAACAGTAGCAAAATGGCAGTGATGAAGTAGCAACAAAAATAATTTTATGGTTGGGGGGGGGTCACCACAACGTGAGGAACTGTATGAAAGGGTGGCGTCATTAGGGAGGTTGAGAACCGCTGGCATAGAGGGTGCTGATGATTTACTCAGCATGCAGACTGAATAAGTACGGTGAGAGGATACAGCTCTGATGCACATTTTTCCTGATTTTAAACTATGCAGTATTCCCTTCTCGCTGCACAACTGCCTCTTGATCCATGTACATGTTCCAAATGAGTACAATGAACTGTTCTGGAATTCCCAATCTTCTCCAGGCTTTCCATAGTTTGTGGTGGTCTGCACAGCTGAATGCCTTTGTATAGTCTATAAAACAATGCCAAGATATTCCGACTAAGGTGCAGGATAGGTTATTGCGTCTGGCCCCGGCCGTGTCTGAAAAGGAGGCACTGGGCTATACTGGGCTTCTTTGGAATTTGGAGGCAACATATTTCTCATTTGGATGAGCTATTCCCACCTATTTATTAAGGGGGTTTGAAAAGCTGCTAGCTTTCAGTAGGGCCCCAGAACAAGAGAAGGCTCTCCAAAATGTTCAGGCTCCTGTGCAAGTAAGTCACTCTGCCACTTGGGACATATGATCTAGCTAATTCTGTGGTCCTGGAAATGTGAGTGGCAGATAGAGATGCAGTTTGGAGTTGTTGGCAGGCCCCTATTGGGGAATCATGGTGCAGATCCTCAGGATTTTGGAGGAAAGCTCTGCCATTCTCTACAGACCACCATTTCCCTTCTGTGAACCAGTTTTTGGCTCGTTCTTGAACCACCAAGCCACCATGCACTGGACACTGTGTGACCCAGAGTCATAAAACCGGATGTGTCCAGCAGCACTCCAGCATTAAATGAAAGTGATATATTCTGATATCAGACTTCAGCAGGACCTGAATGTACAAGTAAGCTGCACGAGGAAGTGGCCCATATGCTTACAGTGGCCCAAAGGCCCCCCCCTCCACGGATTACCTTTCTTCTCTGTGTTTGTACCTCGGGGTCCATGGGTAAACCCTTATGATTAGTTGACTGAGAAAGCGAAAACTCATACTTGGTTACGAAGGTGAAGGACAGTAGTCAAGGGAAATCCTCCCAATGGGCAGAAGGTTTAACAGCACACTTACTCCAGGTATGGGTTTGCCTTCTTTGCATTCGATGCTTCTGGCAAAACTACCATTTGTGGACTTGTACACCAGCATGATCTCCTGCACAACATCAACTTAGATCCAGGGACTTGCTTCAGAGCATATGAAACGCAGCAATGGTCCCCTGTGCGTGGAATCCACTTACCATGATCCCCATCACCCTGAAGCAGCTGGCTTCAAAGAATAATGGAATGGCTTTCTGAAGACACAATTATGGCGCTAGACAGGTAGCAATACCTTGTAGGGTTGGGGTAGTGTTCTCCTGGAGGCTGTTTTTGCTCTAAACCAGTGCCCAATAAATATGTCATGCTATTTCTCCAATAGCCAGGATTCATGGGTCTAAGAACGAAGGGATGGAAACGGGAGTGACACCACTCAATATTACTTTGACTGACCCACTTGTAACATTTTTTCTTCCTGTCCTGTCACCTTTTTGTTCTCAGAGTTTGGAGGTCTTAGTTCAAAAGGGAAGAATACTTTCATCTGAGACAGAGCACTGATATCATTGAACTGGAAGTTAAGAATGCCCCATTTGGGGCTCCCTGGGTCTCTGGATCAACAGGTAAGGATGGTTATTATTGAGTGGTGATTTATTTGTTTTAGAGTATATGTACCTTCAAACAATTTCCATGCTTAATACGAGAGTATGAGCCTTTCTGGTGTTCTACATCCTCCCAATTCCTGGTATTGTCAGTGTTTCTCTAACAGGTTGTACTGACCTGGCCTCTTTGTTCACAGTTCTTTCAAAATGACATTTCGAAGTGGTGGAGAGTAAAGGTATGGTTATATGCATTATCCAGGATTCAAATTTAAGACCAACACCCATGATCTAAACCACTAGGCAATGTTGGTATTTTGATTCACAGTGGAAATAGGGCTGCCGTTCAAGTCTGCTTTACTGGATACAGTAGAGAAAAACCTGTAAGTCCCCAGTTAGGCAAAAAGACTCATCAAAGCAAATTTCTTTGTACTTGCAAGGCTCAAACACAGACCGTTTGTCCAATGTTGTTGTTGTTGGGTACTGTTACGTAGGTTCCCACTCATAGCGCTCCTCCCGACAGGAGAATGAAACAGCCCAGCTCTAAAGCATCCTTACACTCATGATGTTTCAGTCCCTCGTTGCAGCTGGTGTATCAATCCATCTCCTCTTTTCCCGTGATCCTCTTCCTTACCAACCACGACCTCCTTTTCCAGAGACTGGTCTCTCCTGATAACACGGACGAAGGGGCTGAGATGAAGTCTCACCATGCTGGCTTCTAAGGAGCATTCTGGTGATACTTCTTTCAGGACAGATTTTGTTGTTGTTCTTTTGGAAGTCCACAATAACTTCATTATTTTTTGCCAAAATCATAATTGAAATATAGCTATTCTCTTTTGGTCTTGCTTTATTCGTGAAACAGCTTTCACCTGTATACGAGGCTATTGAAAACACCACGAGTTGAGTCACAATTGCCTTAGTCCTCCCTTCAAGCATTCAAGAGGAGTTTTGGAACACCTATTGTCAGCCAGGCCTAGGAAAGAGATAATGAACGCAAATAGACATGGTCTTGAAGTTGGGCATCTGTTAGGGGAGAAATTGGAACAGAAGAACCACAGATGAAAATGTGCAACTGGAGTAAATGTTAAGGAGGATTATTTGAGAGGAGCGATCAGCAGAGACTTTCTCGAGGAAGTGATGTTCAAGTTGAGATTTGGAGGATCAGTATGTAAGAGTTAAATAAGCAAAAAGAGTGGAAGGATGAAGTGTTTTCTAGCAAAGTAAACAGCATGTGTGAAAATTCTGAGCTAGTGAACCATGAAGAGGTAGGCTTGTTAGAGCAAGGAACAAGTACATTGATTTGCAAAGCAAGCACTTTATTGTTGGCGGTGATACTTTGTAGCTTTCTGTAATTAAACACCCTTCATGTGTGCTACTGAAGAGTGTTTCCAAATGCTTTAATCATCCAGACATCCTTTCCAAAAGTATTTAGCATCTCTACCTTCTCTGTGCAAAGATCTGCAATGGGCTCAAGGTGAAGACAAGGTAGTACTGCAGACATTCAGAGCCTCCAGTAAGAATGCATTGAAACACTATGTGAGTGCTTAACAAGAAAAGTGTTAGAGAAGATGATACGCAACAACACAAGAGCTGCTGGTGAACAGATGCAGAATGTAGAGCAGAAGCTATCGAGGAGGGCATGGGACTGACTTCCCATCCCTGTTCCTCTGATCTAATCATGACCAGTGGGAACTTCGTGGAAATCAAATCATAAAATCAGGTCTGATTATCTCCTAAGAGTCAAGGAGCAGACCCCAGTGGTCAAGTGTAGGGCGTCTGGGGCCAGCGTACCTGAGGTCGAGTCCTGGATCTACTATTTATTGGCTTTTGGACATGTGACAAGTTAATTCAAGTTCTCTGTGCCCAGTTTCCTTATTTATAAAGTGGAGTTAAGACTATCCCCTTCACAGGGGTTTTCTGAGGATTAAATGAGATAATCCATATATAGTAGTTAGAACGGTGTCTGGTCTATCAACAGCACACAATTACTGCTAGATATTGACTACAATATGAGATAGGCCGACACCATGGCTGCAACATTGGCTCACACATGGCAATGATTATGAGGATGGTACAGGGTCAGACATTGTGGTGTGGTGTTGTACACAGGGTCACTATGAGCTGGAACTGGCTCACTGGCACCTAAACACAACAACCAGAATGCATGCAGAAACTATATGAAGCTCTAGGGAGACCGGGATCCACAAAATAGACGGACTCTCTTTTGTGGGGGAGACAGATAACCAAGCACATGAATGGACAAGGGCATTTCAGGTGGTGACATGCCACAGAATAAAACCAAGGTTGATGGGGAGAGGGATCTGTTTGGATTGGAAGATAGTACATGGGAGAAGTTACTTTCCTTGCAAAGACCTGAGATCTGTAGGAAATAAATCCAGAGAGTGGGATGGCAAGCCTAAGTAAGAATGGGCTTGATCTATTTTGGGAACAGAAAAGATGGGCTCTTATCCGTTCCATTCCAGAAGCAAACCAAACTCACTGCCATCGAGTGGATTCGACTCATAACGAGCTGGGGGTTTGAGAGAGTGTAACTCTTCGCTCAAATAAAAAGCCTCATCTTTCTCCTGAGGAGTGGCTGGTGGTTTCAAACTGCTGATCTTGAGGTTAGCAGCCCAACAAGTAACCATGATGCCCCCAGGGCTCTTTTTAGTTTGCTTATGACTCCCATTTTACAGAGGTGAAAACTCAAGCTTTGAGCTTTAGGTGATGTGCCCAAAGTCACATACCGAGCCAGTGAGTGAGCCTGAACATGGCCCAACTTCCAAGGTGCTCGGGTTTTGTCAGAGAAAAGAGTCCCGGTTGGAGGGAAACGATTCCTGTCCCTTCGGCTACACATGTCTTAGAAAAGTGCATAATCTCTTTTTGCCCTTTCATCGATTAACAATGCCTACATTGTTATCTCACTGTCTGCCACGCCTATCAACAACAGCATCTGTGTTAGTCTGGATTGACTAGAGAAACAAATCCAGGGACACTCACATGTGTGTGAGAGAGAACTTAATATCAAAGAGCAATTGTACATTAAGAAATCATCTCAGCCCAGTCCAGATCAAGCCCATAAATCCAATATTAGCCCTTATGTCTGATACTAGTCCATGAATTCTTCTACAGACTCACACGGCGCATGCAATGATGCCGAAAGCAGGAAGATCACAGGCCAGTGGATAAAAAAGTTTTGTGGAAGCATCTCAGCGCTGGTGTGTGTCTCCACATGGCTCCTCCAGCTCCAGGGCTCTGGCTCCATCAGTGTGTCTCCATGTGACTTGTCAACAGGAATGTCTCACAGGGAGAGAAGGACAGAGTATGTGTGTCCTGCCTCCAGGGAGGAAGGCAAAAGTTCCCAGAATCCTCTGGAGAAGGCCATGCCCACACAGAGGCCTCATTGTCTATGACCTGATTGACAGATTATGTAACTGCCATGGCATCGATGACAACATCAGCCATGACCTGTGTGTCTGAATAGAACGTCATATAGGGATTTCAGTGGTTGAGTTTGGGGAAATGATTTGTTTGTCTCTTGGGGACCTCTAGGTGTACTTGAACCTGCACATTTTTGGTTAGCAGTGGTATACATTACCCATTTGCATTACCAGGGATTCATCCAAGCCGTCAAGGAGACAGGACTGGAAAGATGCTGGAATCTCCCCAGAAAACAAATTCCATTATTGAGAGCAACTCTTCATCAATGACCTTTTACTCCTCAGTTGGGGTCGGGTGCTCAAAATTCTACACATTTAAACGCTTGAAAAAGATTCCAAGGACATCTAATTAGTGACTGAAGTCAGGAAGTATCATCAGCACCATGGGAAACTGCTAGGTATTCATATTTGACATTTCTTTTAGTTCCCGGTAATTGCCTCTCTTGAGAAACTAACCCACAGACACCGCGTTTCCTATTTCCTTTGTACACGGAGATTTCCCCCGAAGGCAACATCCCCAAGAAGGGGGTGAGATGTGCTGGCCAGAGAGACCCGGAGGGGCGTGGAGTGCTGCCGGGACATTGATTTTCTGCAACAAATGAGAAGGCACAGCCTTCAACTCTTATGACTTGATCTTTGCTATCACTCTGTACACCCCCAAATCCCTTCATTTCTCTCGGTGGCACGTTTCCCCCAAAGACAAAGAGTGTTGTTGACAGAGTCTGTGTGCATAACAGGGGAAAAGCAAAGAAATCCAAGTTCTCATGACCTGTAACCTCCTTTCTTGAAGTTTTCCCTCAAACTAACTAGCCCAAGGTCTCCGTTGTTGAGGAACAAACGCAACCTGTCCTCTCCAAGCAAACGCCAAACGCTATTGAACTGCACAATCAAAATGTCAGTGTTCCTCACTCTCAGTGGTGTCCTGGAACAGGTTTAAGTTCATGGGAAGTAATCAAGCCATGTTTGTGATTACACAGCTTTTTGGTTGTTTGTGAGGGAATTCATTTCCCGTGCTTTGCAGCTTTCTGTCCACAAGCTTGGGAGAATCTGAAAGAATCACATAGGTTGGACTGGCAAACGCCAACATTTTCCGGTCTGTGTCCTAGAGGGGAAGGGTCAATGTCTTCCAGTGGCCTATTCTATGTCTGTGATGACCAAGGGACCCTTGCAGGTTCCATGGAACTGAGCACTGATTCTTGGTTGTGTTGTCTTTCTTTTTGCTTTTGTGGTGAAGTGGGTTTGAGTTTGGCTGCTCATCAAAAGGTCAGCAGTTTGAATTCGCCAGTGGCGTCACCGGAGAAAGATGAGGCTTTCTGCTCCCATAAGGACTTGTAGCTTTGAAAAACGGAGTGAGCAGTTCTACTTTGTCCTACAGGGTCGCCATGAGACAGATCAACTTGAGGGCAGTAGGTTGGTGGACACTGAGTAGGCTCCAATTCCTGATGAACCCATAGACAATAGAACAAAATGCTGCCCCACTGGGTGCCATTGTTATGATCCCTGGTACAGATTTAAACACTGTACCATAATCATGACACCTCCGCTTTATTGTGCATTCTGTGTGCCTGGTATTGGCGCAACAAT